ACTAGGCAGGAAAACAAGTAGGGTTCTCAACCAAAGCCTTTAGTTCTGACAGGAACCTGACTGCAAGGCAGCGGGTGAAGCGAAGTAGAGGCCCATTTACCTGGATCGACCATTCCTCCATTTTTACCGACTGTATCGGAAATTCTAGTCGAACCACCAACCTGGAGGACCAGGAAACTAGCCTCTTTCTTACCTTTACCCTTTGGCCTTTCTGATCTCGGGTTTAACATATAACTCGTTAGCTCAGAGAGGCGCGCAAACCATCACATTACGTCCAGATGCAGTCTTGTCTTCATGGCATTCACTATCGCCGATTACAATGGTTTAAATCCCTTCGAAAATCTGACTACGCTTTGGAAATTTTTGTCCAATCATCGTCTTCTTGCCCAAGCTGACGCTGTCGATACGGGGAGACAAAAGCTTGGCTGAATACTGTATTCAAAAACCCAGATCACCTTGGTCGTCCAATGAAGTATGGTACTCATTTGCAAGCACCTAGTCCTCGATCGTGACTAACTGCGATCAGAGGCATTCATAGAGTCGGCTTATTCTATCCAGGGAACCAGCCGCAGTAAAGCATATATATCTTCTCTTTGACCCTGCTTGTAACATTCTATCCTTCCTTCTACTCTTCTATCCAAAAGGGCAGTCATGAAACAGCAACCAAAGCCGGCACGCGAAAGTGCATGGCTAACGTTGCTAAAGTTGAAGTGAACTGATCCACGATTCAGTGTCCAAACCTGCTGTCGTCATCCCATTTTGATTGTGAACAGCTTCGCGGTCACACGACTCAGTCGCCTGATAATGTTGCCGATTCCAATGTTGAGACCTAATTTTTTTAAAATTTTCTATTACGCATTTTGGTGTTATGAACAGCAGACGAGGTGAACCTCAGTGGCGTAAACCTGCTATTCTATGATGGGAACTGAACCCTAAGCCCTGGGACTTGGAGTGGTAAGCCTTAGCATGACTACAGCAAAGCCACCTACACTAAAGTTGGTTGGCGGTGGTGGGGTTTGAACTTCGAATCACGGGGTCCAAGGCTCTCCGGTGATAGCAACTGAACCACTGCGCCATCACTCCCAATTATAAATTTGATACCCCAACGGGACATCCGTTTTATAACAGTTCTTAGGGTTGATTATTATTGGTTCTTGGCAAAAACGTTCATCTGTTTCATGCTTTCTAGATCCTCGATGAACTCTTCGGTTACTCCAGAAAGCCTAAACCTTTGTTCTTGATCGATTCCACCGGCGGATGCTGATTGTTTTTTCGTTCGATTAGTTTCTTTCTATGGATGCGTATGAGGATATCGACGAGCTTAATGATGAAACATTTGGGGCAGCGGAAGATGGTGAGTCACTCCCCAGTCTTTTAATGTACATTAAATTACTTTGTAGGTGATTGGGAGTTGGAACATGAACAGTTTGCTCTCGCTCAAGGCAGTACTGAACACGTCGCTCCAGATGCGGACCAGTTACCTAAATTCTGGGAAGCATCCGAGGACGTGTCTTTCCTCTGGCAACCCGAAGCTCTAGAAAACTATAAAAATTTTTTCGATGATGAAGGAAAAGAACGAGTGAGTGTTTGATTTCAGTCTTATTATCTTTCCAGGGTGTTAATGTTGAGGAGACACTACAGAAGCTTGTTTCTGAGGATGAGGCATTCGAAGATCCTGCCATCCTGGATATATCGAAAAAAGTTTCGCAGCCCACGCTCAGTGGGTCCGCACTAGATAAGCTCCTTGGGGCTCCGGCCTTTCCTGCTGCACCAGCCAACTTATTCAGTTCATCTAGAGATATTTGGAGTTCCAGTGACACCATTACCAGTCAGCGTCAACCCCCAAGTCGGCCTGAACAAAATTCATCGTCTCAGAATGCTTCTCTCAATTTGATGGAGTTGTTACACCACATAGCCCAGGCAAAAGGCGCTTTGAGAGGGGCCGGAAATGAGGTGCATCAAAAAGTTCCAGACATTTCAGCGTCGCACAATTTATCGTCTGGGACTGCAGAACTTCGTCCATCTGCTCCGTCTTCTGTTGCATCCACACGCATTTCTCATCCGGCAGGCCGAGATAGGGTGAATTTCGGTGGACCTTTAGATACCCCATCAAGTCTTTCTCTAACCGATTTCAAAAATGTTGCTGATTCTTCACGACAAAACATCACTCATACGAATGTAGGTGGTGTTCCATGGTCTCAACAAACCGAATCTTCGCTGCCCCAAATTACGAACAACTTACTTCAGAAGCAGGTAATTTTCTGTGAATACAAAATTTGTGACTCGGCCCAATGTGATTCAGTTTTTCCTCATCCATTTATTCTGTTATGTTAAAAATAGAAGCACCACCTTAGTACCCCCGAGCTGGCTACATCAAATAATTTGAAATTTGTTAATGTTCGCTTTCAGTTACACAACTTAAGCGGTCGTATTGTTGCGTGCATCGTTTAGTCATTCGAAGTTCGTACTCTTGCACAGTTCAATTCAAGAATATATTCTTGGTGGCATTCACGTCTTTTGTAACCTAAGGCTAGTTATTGATCACAACTGAACTACTCAAACTTTCAGTGTTGAGTTAAGCAACCGGAACGTTAACTACGTAGCAATTCCTCTCCTTCAGCTACATATTTCAATTAGTATTACACTTCTCTGTTGTTTTGTTATTCTGTTCAGTTCGCGGACCCCTCACAGTTACCAATTGGAAAAAGTAACTGTACTGCGAACGCGGTGCAGGCAATAAACAACTTTGGACAGAATAACACATCGGACTATGTTCGAGCCTCTGCATTGCGTTTACTGCTAATGCAAGCACAAGATCCACGGATTGTGGGAAGGTATGTTTTGATCTTGATTGGCATCACGTCCAATAGGTTTGCGAACGGTCTCTTTTACTAGCATGAGTAATAAAAAGAGTAGCTGGCTTTTATGGTTTAGCGCTTTCATGATCTGGAACCTTTTTGATTTATTAGCTGCATGCAGATTCGCTATCTCTTGCGGCTCGCTGTCAGATCTCTCCCATTTGGGGTCTTATGTGGCTTGCCACTCTGAGCCCAGGTCTTAGATTTCTAGTTATCAATCAATGAACAATAGGTAGTAGTCAATGGACTGTCTACGGATAGCACAGCCGAGTACTGTCGAGCGCGTCTCCAGGTCGCAGAAAGGGGAACGGCCACCTTGGTGGTTAACCATGAGTAGGTGGGACCAACTCACTGAATACTCGGTCACATCGTGCCTCCAAGCCATCAAAACCTTTGGAGAGAGATGGTGACTTACTGGTTGGTTAAGTCTGTTTAAGGCGGTGATTCTTCTGCCAGTCATTCACCAGTGCCATCCTATCCGCTCGATACAACGAAGGCAACTGTGATTAGAGAGTCTGTTTACGTCATCGACGTAAACGCATCGAATTTCACAGATGCATAGTAAATTGATACATGGTACAGTGATGCACGAGTACGTGCTTGCTGGCATACTGTTCTATTCATTTACCAAAACCACTCGAACTTAATGCATTCGGTAAGCCGGGATATACCGATACAGCGTTGCCATATGGCGAAGCCCGTTATGCAGCATAAGTTGCGTTCCAATGATGCGGGGTGTAGTAGTTGTCGATGACACAAGTGGGTCTTTTGGTGTGCCCTCTTTCAGTAGAGTTCGTTTGCCGTACTTGTTTTCCATCGCTTTTATCCCTTGATTTTTGTTCATTGTCGTTCATCGATTTCCTCAGGCGTCTTTCTCCTTCAATTATTCTTAACGTACAACAGACCTCCTAACACGCTACCAGACCTGCGTTATTTCCAACTGTTGCCACCACCAAACGTGCCTGCTTTGATGCAGACACCCACACCGTTGCTTGGACCGCAACGTTTAATTGGATCTGGACAAGTCACTCAGGCCGCAACTCCTCTTTTTCCTGGATCCCTTAATCCAAACATTGCGGCTTCTTTTTTGTTGCAACAACCCCCTAGTCGACGAGTTGTACCGTCCAACTTACTCCCGATGCGTTCTGTGTCGACCGTTTTACCAAATTCAGTGGCTGGCCAACAACATCAAACAGCTACCAGGGATGGTGGGCTTCCAGTCAGAGTTCCTATTTCTCACACATCTCTCGAGGTGGACGAGGAATTTGACCCAAATCATGGTAGTTGGATGTCTGACTACGAATCCGTCGGCGTGTTACTGATGCATCTCCGTCCACTTGTGGTGTCCAATCCATATGTACAGGTTTGTCTCCCTCGCAAAACTTAATCAATTTGAAAATTAACTTTACACTTTTCGGCAGCGGTTTATGATCATTGTGTTTTGGCCGTTCATTTGACTGAAGGAGTAGCGGGAAGAACTAGAATGTTTGAATTGGTCAATATATATATATATATATATATATATATCACGTTCTGAAGCCAGACTGTGTGCCAAGTAAATCATGGTACAATGATCTTTATAAAAAGAAATGGTCAAGGTAACGATAGAAAGTTCTGGTTGACTAAGATTAGGAAGAAACTGAGTAGACGCGAATGCGTCACTGCTAAAGTGTATCTAACCATGAATTATCCTGATCCCGCGATCCCCAACCGAGAAGCCTTGCGTGATCCATATGGGGGGTGGGGTGGCGCAGAGGTTTAGTCGCTGTGACCGGCGTGCTTTAGACCCTATGGTCCGATGTTCAAGCCCCGACACCGCCACCCGACTTTGATGGTAGGCAGCTTTGCTGTTGTCCGGTTCGATACTACGCCTAACCTATTGGGGCCTTATGTGGTTCGTCACTCCAAGTCCCATGAGGCTTAGGTTACCGGTTTCCATCAATAGACAGCAGGTCCTCGTGACTGTGGGATTCGCTCCGTCTGCCGTTCATCACACTTAGGTGTGTAATCAAACAAACTGACCCAGTCCCCTGTTCAGGGTCTTAATTGCCGTCCATGACTACCTACTTTTGCAAACATTGCACGTTGAGGAAGCCCGTGAGACGGCATGTGTAACAGGCTAAAATAAACGTAATTTACCAAAGTCAAGTATTTGCTATAGTGAGCAACCGTGGTTGGCTTCAACTATGAGCCGGTTATTCTACCAGACTCAGTTAATGTGGGATAGACAGCGGTGTTTAACCTCCAATTGTCTCTTTTTATCTTGTTCCCGTTATGGCAGAATCTCAGCATCATATAACAGCGCTGGTCAAACTCCTGCAACATACGCTCGACCCTTCGCAGACAAGCCGATGTTGCTATGAATGTTTCGGGTTGGCACATTTCAATTGAGCCATCTGCATGCGTGTCGACACTTCACTTTCAGCTCGGTTTGGTTCACTGGTCGAGCGGTTTGCAGGAGTTTGAGCACTTTCATATCTATACAGTTTGAAACCACGCGACAGCTGAGGCACAGCTACATGCTACATGGTGTCCCCTGGTTGTGAACATTTGAACGGTAACTCAGCGCGTGGTTATCAATGGTTAAGGTGGATTAAGGCTCACTGAGCACCACTGTCTACTCCGTATCGAACGGCGTAGATCTTTTGCCAATGGATATCACGGTACCGTTTCCTTTGAGACGTTTCTGCGTTATGTGTGGAACTCGTAATGCGATCGCATTTGCTTTCAAGTTATGCATGGGGATACTTATATCGGAAAAAACTTATTTCTGTGTACACCCTTGGCTTATATTATTTTTTTATGTAGTCTGCTCATGGTCAACTCTTTGCTGATTTCCATTTTTCACATTGGTTCCAATCCAGGGCTTTTCTGTTTTAGATATATTTTTGTTACACACTTGTGTAAGCATAGCAGACAAGGTACACCCCGTAGTAACAATCACCCAGTGTTCGCTCATGGAAATTCACAACCTTAGTTCCTGTAAGTGGATTGTCGAACCAGCGTTAGTTTAAACGTGGTATTTGCACGACTGCCACGTAATTCGGGCAGCATTAGCAGGGTTCCAACTTTATGGCCCCAAGCACACCAGTACCGCCAACCTAGGTTGCTTGACGGTCATCATCCTGATTTTTTTGTTTCTCAATTGTATTGTGTTCAATTTGGCAAATTTGCTTTCATTATCACATGTACTACAAAGTTAAAGTCAAAGTTTTATTATGGGAATAGCTTACAAGCTGGTGCTTCTCTTGTCCCATAGGATGTTTACATAGATGAATCGTTACACATCAAAAAAGGAGTCACATAGAGATCCGGGTAGGAGATAGAGAATGTAGGCTACAGTGAATCCCGTTTGCCTTTAGTGTACGAATGTGAGGTGTGCCAAGATTTTGTCGAGTCTCTGCTTGAAAGATTCAATAGTGGGTGCACAAACGACATGAGATGGAAGGGCATTCCAAGATT